TGTGTGTCTCTCTGTCTCTGTGTCTCTCTTTCTCTCTCTGTCTTTCTCTTTCTCTCTTTCTCTGTGTGTGTGTCTCTGTGTGTGTCTCTCTGTCTCTGTGTCTCTCTTTCTCCCTCTGTCTCTCTCTTTCTCTCTCTGTCTCTCTCTTTCTCTCTGTCTCTGTGTGTGTGTCTCTGTCTCTGTGTGTGTGTGTCTCTGTGTGTGTCTCTCTGTCTCTGTGTCTCTCTTTCTCTCTCTGTCTTTCTCTTTCTCTCTCTGTCTCTCTGTCTCTCTCTTTGTCTCTCTCTCTCTTTCTCTCTCTGTGGCTCCCTCTCTCTGTGTCTCTCTTTCTCCCTCTGTCTCTCTCCTTCTCTTTCTCTCTCTGTGTGTCTCTCTCTCTGTTTCTGTCTGTCTGAGCTTTGGATGGGAGATGTCCTTTACTCTGTATTGTCTGGTATGTATTCTCCTATGTATAGTTTCTTTAATTTCTGTTTTGCTATCCAATTTGGATAAATGAGTTTCTTGGCTAAATGGGATATATGTTTACTGTGGACTGGAATTCAGTGGGAATGGAGTCCCTCCTTGGCTATGAAACATGGAGTTCTGCTTCCATCAATAATGTATCATTGAGCAGAAGCTAAATTGAACCTGAAAATCACACCCCCAAACCCACAATACCAAGGGAGATCGTTCAGCTACGTGCTACTCTTCGTGACATCATTAGGGTTTTCTTGGCAAAGAGACTGCAGTTGTTTGCCATGCCCTTCTCCAGCTCATTTTACAGATGAGGAAACTGAGGCAAACAGAGTGAAGTGACTTGCCCAGGATCATATGGCTAATAAGTATCTGAGGCCTGATTTGAACCCAGGTCTTCCGACTTCAGGCCCAGCTCTCTATCCACTCACTGACCCCCTAGCTGCCCATCCAAGGGAACAGATAGACACAATCCTAGCCCAGTAGTCCCTCTCTGAGAACACAGTAGTGGCCTCTGGCCAACTCCCTGCCTCCCCTCCTGGCAAGAATGAAAATCTGCCTTGGAGAAGGGTAGAAGGAAAGAGGCTTGAGATTTCTGTTCTGTCTCCCTTTGAGCCCCATAATGACACTCCCATGCTCCACGTCTTGGGGGGGGGGGGTAGCCCATGTAACACGTGGGGCCTCGATGCATGTACACACACATGCGTGTGTGTATATATACACCCTATTTGTCCTTAGTTGTCTGAATGTTGTTTCCCCCCAGTAGACTGGGAGCTTCTTGGGGTCAGGGACTGTCTCTTGCCTTTCTTCTGTGTTCCCAGTACTTAGCATAGAGCCCCAAACATAGTAGGTGCTTAATAGTCATAGACTGACTGACTAACCCCCTGCTTCTCAGGTGTGGTAAGGAATCCTTTCTGGTTATACATCCGACCAGATGGCTGCTACAGATCCTTTTAGCTCAAAAGACCTTAACTGCAATTCTACGACCAGGCCTGTTTTCTCATCTATGAAATGTGAGTTGAGGGTTGGACTAGATGGTTTTTTCTTTCTTTCTTTTGTTTGGGGGGGGTGGGGGGGTGGGAATCCGGGTTAAGTGACTTGTCCAGGGTCACACAGTTAATAAGTGTCTGATGCCAGATTTGAACTCGTGAAGTCTTCCCAACACTGTGCACCATGGCGCCACCTAGTTGCCTCGGACTAGAAGATTTCTCACATCTTCCTGAGGTGTGAGCGTGGGGAAGGGGCTCTCGGCTACTGGCTTGGCTGGAGGGTGGAGCTGCTGTAAAGTGATGGTGCGAATGCATCGGAGCACCAAGGGGCAGCCTCCCTGAGAGCCACTGTCCATCCACGGGTGCTGAGGAGCACTGAGGGAACAGAGGCTTCAGGGCATTGACCCAGATTCTCGACACCCTGGGAATGGCTCCAGTGCCGGACAAGGAAACCCTGAATCAGCTACAAGGACCCACAGTCAAAGCACAGACCAACTCCGGGAGAGGCTGCTGACCAAGGCGAGGAGGCCGTGGCTGACGTGGGCTGGCAACGTCAAGGGGAAGCAATATTCACCTACCTGCCTGCACTTCAGGACTGGAAGGAGCTGAGAAGGGAGGGAGGGAAGGAAAGGAGAGAGGGAACAGAGGGAAGAGGCAGAATGCTCTCCCATGCCCCATCCTCCTCCACATACAGCACTTAACATTTTAAAAATGGCATGCCCAAAGGAATGGATCACTAATGGTAGAATGTCCAACTCTATGCCAGGGGAGAAGTTGGGGGAGGGGAAATGACAGTATTTTGGGGTGAGCCTATGAGGAGCTCTTAAATCACAACTAATCCTTGAATCCAAGAGCAAGAGGCTAACACCTTACCAGAGTGGGGATAGAAAGTGGTGAGATGAATGAGCCACTTTGGGAATGAGCTTTCTGTCACTGGAATTTTTCAAGCAGGGTCCAGCTGACCACTTGTCAGAGATGCTTCAAAAGAGATTCCTGCTTCAGGGAGGGCTTTGGACCAGACGGCCTCGGAGTTTCCTCCAGGTGGAGCAGGCTCTTAATTCTACAGTTTTTAAATACTTCCTATAGATGGAGACAGGGGTGGATAGAGCACCGGGCCTAGAGTCAAGATCTGAGCTCAAATCTGGCCTCAAACACTAAGTTGTGTGCCCCTGGACAGATCATTCAACCTCTGCCTGCCTCAGTTTCCTCAACTGTACGATGGAGATAATAATAGCATCTACCTCCCGAGGTTGTTGTGAGGATAAAATGAGATATTTGTAAAGTGCAGTCACTTAATTGTTGCTTCCTTCCTTGCCTGATGCTTAATTTATTAAGATATGTGGGCCATTTCTAATTTTTAAAAAGGTGAGGCATGAAGAGAATGGCCCAATGTCCTGAACTGGGAGTCAGGAACCCTAGTCTGGCTTCACCTCTAATCAGCTGTGTGGCCTCAGACAAATGACTTTACCTCTGGGTCTCAATTTCCTTATATGCAAAGCGAGGGGATGGATTTATTGATTGCTGAGAGCAACGCCAGCTGGAAGTTATGCCTCTAAGGTAGGCCTGCTCTAGCTGTGGTCAAGGTTACCCTCAGAACAGCCAGGAGGCCCTAGCCCCAGGATGGGGCTGGAAGCAGGTTAAGGGAAGTGTTTAGAACCCAGCTCCCCTGATTTTGCCCAGGCTGGGGCTGCCACCCTCTTGGCCCCCTTCCTATTTGCTTGTGGGCTTTAAGCGATGGGGTGGGACAAGGGTAAAGAAGGGAGAACGTATGCCTTGGAGGTGGCTAGATGGTACAGTGATGGAAAAAGAGTCCAGATTTGGCCTTGGGCACACTGGCTGTATAACTCTGGGCACTTAACCTACCTGGCCTCAGTTTCCTTATCTGTAAAATGGGGATAATAATAGCACTTCCTTCCCAGGGTTGTTAAGAGAAAATGAGAGAACATTTATAAAGTGTTTTCAACCCTTAAAGCTAGCTATAAGGCTCAGGTTGTGAAAGAATTCAACATGGATTAGGAGAAAGTTTTCCACCAGAACTTTTGGTCTGTTCTTATTCCAATCCATTTAATCCTTATTTGGCACCATGTGCAAGGCCCTGTTTGTGGGCCATTCACAGGATTGGCACTGGAAGGGTCTTCGAGGTCGTTAGGTACAGATGCAGGACTGTTTCTTTGTTTAGTTTGGCTTCGGCCTGACTTCAATCACTGGGGCACTGGGGGATGGGACAGAGTTGGCCATTTACAAGGAGGTCTCCGAATCGAGTGGGTTTTATTGTAGTCCCTCCCTGGGACTCCTTCAGCAGCTCTCAGCCTCCTTGGCCATAGGAATCAGAGGCCCCTGTCAGTCAGACCAGCAAAGCGGCAGCCACATCCCACATCGGTGACCCTGATGGCTGAGGGTTATGGAGCGGCTGATGGTTCCACCCCCTGGACTTTCAGCTGTCATACTGACAGGATTAGATAAAATTGTGAGATGTTTGAGAGGGATCTTACAGAGGGATCTGCTTTGGGGCTCATGACAGGCCTTCTCCTCATCAGACCAAAGGAGGAAAGGACTTTTAGCCCCATCCATTCTGGTTTCCAAAGACAGCAGGGCTACCAATGGGGTAGGTAAAGTGATTGGGGAAGAATGAGGTTGGAAGACAGAGGAACATAGGTAGGGCTACACTGGGAAGCAAGAATGGACCCTGTGAAAGTGAAGAGGTGATGGAGAATGCCACTCAAGACAAGCTCTCAGGGGCAGCTAGGTGGAGAGAACTCTGGCCTTAGAGTCAAGAGGACCTGAGTTCAAATCCAGTCTCAGACCGGACACTCGACACTGTGTGACCGTGGGCGAGTCACTTAACCCCAACTGCCTTGCCAAAAAAAAAAAGACAAGCTCTCACCCCCTCCCAATCCCTGGCCCACGCAAGGCTCCAAGCCAGGCCAATGTGAGTACAAAAGGCTTTCTTTATTGAGTTCTGAATACAGAGCAGGTACTGATCCAGGGTCAGCAGTTTAAATATGGGGTAAGCAGATGGGGGCAAGGGGCCGGACAGGCCAGTCATTTCACTTTGGGCTGGGAATCCTTACTATGGGGCCTGGGTCCCATGCTTTGCCCAGAAGGTTAGTGAGGAGGGGGCAAAGGGACCAGCCTGGGTTAGGGCCCTGGCAGGCCAAAGGGGCACCCCACACCTGGGCAGGAAACTGAAGGCACAGGGCACAAAGTCAGGGCAGCCTGGGGTGTGCTGGGGCTGGGATGTGGCCACCAAGGCAGGAGGGGAAGTGGTCAGTGCCCTTCCTCCCCACCATTCCTGTACCCTTCAGGCCTAGGCCTGGCCCCTCGGGCAGGGGGGAGGCAGCTGCCTGGGCCTCACTTTTTCACCTTGGAGTCATAGGTCCCTGCGTGCTTGTAGGCGCTGACGTAGCCGCTGTCATCCAGAATGTCTTGCCGCCCCGCGATGCCCTTTCCTTTGCCGCTTTCGTCAAAGCGTTCCTTGTGGGAGCCCGTGTACTTGCTGGTATCGGTCAGCCGTTCCACAGCCCCTCCTGTTTTGGCTTTCTACCCAGAGTCAAACACGAGGCACTCAGTGTGGGGCGGGGGGAAGGAGAGCACCCGAGAGCCCTGGCACGTTTTCCCCATCTCCTCCCTCCCCCCATGAGGGGCTCCCCTAATGCGCGGAGGCTGGGAGGGGCCAGGACTGGTCCCGGACCCTGCCAGCCCAGAGGCCATCTGAGACGCCTCTCAGGGTCAACTGAGAAGGGAACTTTGAGACGAGCAGGACACTCACGGTGACACCCACGTTGGCCGGCTCTTTGCCCGCCACCAGCTTGCAGATGGCATCAAATGCTTCCTCCTTGTTCTTGCCCTTAAACCTCTTTGCAGCCAGCTCCTCTAGGGCCTTCTTAAACTCCTCATAATTGATGACTCGGGCAGTCTTCCCCCTAATAGGGACACAGGGACACCATGGATCCCTCCCTTCCTCCTTCTCTTCCTCTGTCCATTAGACAGCTTTCTCTCGATGCCCTCTCATGCCCGTGACATGATATGAGCAATCACCGAATTGGGGGACTGAACAAAGCCTGTACACCCCCCCCCCAAGTGGCCATCTAGCCTCGGCCTAAAGAGCAGGTCGGGGCACCACTCCCCTCATTCCAATGGTTTTCCCTTACAACAAACCTGGACCTTGCCTCTGATCCCCCTTCCCAGGTGCTTTCTAGGGCCCAGTAGAAGGAGGCCTTTCCTGGCCGCCCCCGATACTAGAAGGGAAGCCTTCTCAGGTTACCCCCGCACCCCAGCTACTCTGAAAATATCTCGTATATACCTAGTCGTTTGCACATTGTCTCCTCCATTAAACTGTGAGCTCCTTGAGGGCAGGGCTGCCTTTTCCACCTTTCCTTGCATCCGAGGGCGGGGCATAGCACCTGGCCCCCCATGAGTGCTTTAGGACAATCTTCTACTTGGCTGTCCAGATGACAGCCTTGAAGACAGCTACCCTATTGTCCCTAAATATTCTCCTCTTTGGGTCAAAACATCCCCACTTCCCTCAAGCAATGACCTGCACGGTCTTATCAAATTGTCTTTGTCGATTTTTGTTGTTCGATCGTTTCTCAGTCATGTCTGACTGTTCGTGAGGTTTTCTTGACAAAGATACTGGAGTGTTTTGCCATTTCCTTCTCCAGCTCATTTTATTACAGATGAGGAAACTGAGGCAAGCAGGATTAAGTGACTTGCTCAGGATCACACAGCTAATAAGTGTCTGGGGCCAGACTGAAACTCAGAAAGATGAGTCTTCCTGACTTCAGGCCTGGCACTGTATTCGATGTGCCATCTAGCTGCCCCCTAATTTGTTGATATTCTTCCTAAATTGTAGTAGCCTGAATCCCTGCTTCTTCCTATGCAGTCTAACCAGAGCAGTTCTCGGCAGGACTACCTCCATCCCCTCATTTGGAACACTTTGCAGCTCAGTGGAGCTTCAGATCAAATTAGCTTTGTGGACCACCCAACATATTGAATTTGACTCACATAGAGTTTGCGGTCCACTAAAACCCCCAGATCTTTTTTTTCACAGGAACTATTGTGGAGCCACTCCCCATCCTGTACTTGTGAATTTTATTTTGTGAATCCTGATTTGGGCTAGGTCGAGGGAAGAAGGAATCCCACCCCTATCACCCTGCACCGGATGCCCCCAGGCTCACTTGACTTTGGAGAAGACGATGTCCACATCTGTGCCTGTGACATTCTTGCCGTCAGCAACCTTGCAGTCCTTACAGAGTTTGGCCCAGTTCTTGCCGTTCATTTCATGCCCCGTGGCCTTGGTGTCTCCATGGATGGCAAACTTTCGGAAGCTCTCCTCCAAGCCTTCCACATCTGGGTGCTCCGCCATGCTGACCTGCTGCCCATCACACACAAAGTCACCCTGGGGCCCCTTCCAAGTGTGCCAAGCTAAGGCACCATCCTGGGGACAACATAACCACCCCCTGTGCACCCTGGAAACCATAACTGGCCCCAGCTGGCAAGAGGGTCTGGGGGCAGGCGACCACTGAAGCTTGGGACATAGGCAGTATGGACTGTGGGAAAGAGGCTGGAAACTGCACTCACTGGACAAGAGTTGGCATCATGGCAGGGACAGTTACACTTATGACCTGTGTGTCCTTGGCTGAGGTAGTCAATTTCCCTGGGCCTCCCTGTCCTCACCTGTAAAATAACTGAACTAGATATGCTAAGGTCCCTTCCAGATCTGGATTTATGATCCTATAAATACCAGGTCTGGAAAGGGCCTTAGAACATGGAATGCCAGAGGTGGGAGGGATCTTAGAACACAGAATGCCAGAGGTAGGAGGGGCCTTAGAACACAGAATGCCAGGGTTAGGAAGGATCTTAGAACACAGAACACCAGGGCTAGGAAGGATCTTAGAACACAGAATGCCAGGAATGGGAGGGACTTTGGACCATAGAATGCCAGGCCTGGGAGGGGCCTTAGAACATAGAATGCCAGGCCTGGGAGGGGCCTTAGAACACAGAATGCCAGGAATGGGAGGGACCTTGAACCATAGAATGCCAGGCCTGGGAGAGGCCTTAGAACACTGAATGCCAGGTCTGGGGGATACTTTAGAGATCATCTGGTACAATTCCCCCCTCATTTACAGATGACACTCAAGATACTAAAGCCTAGAGACCAGATGAGTTACCCACCTCGGTTAGTAGTTAGCACCTAAATCACAGAATCAGCTGCCCAGCCCCAGGGACTACTGAGGCTTTATGCAAGGATCTGTCCACTCTGGAAGCTAGCTCTGACAAATCCTACCCCTGGTAAATTGCTTATCACCCCTGCCAGTTCCTGCCAGCTTCTCTCCCCTATCTCCCTGGGGAATGTGGGCCATCTTCCTAGTAAACTACAGGCACCTGAGGTCTCCTGTGGGTATGTATTATTGGAGGTGATAGTAATTGGGCCAGGCTCCCTATTGCTTCTAAAATACAGACTCCTCAGCCTGGCAATTAAGGCCCTTCACAATCTGACTCCAACCTACTTTTCCAGCCTTATTCCTCCTTTATACACTCAACATTATAGCCAAACTGGACTCCTGGCTATTCCCTGATCTTGAGGTTTCACTTCCTACCTTCATGCTTTTACTCAAGCTGTGTCCCTTGCCTGGAATACATTCTCTCCTGAACTCTCACTCTCTAAATCAGGGGTCTTAACCTACAGTCTGTGGACTTATTTTTTTAAAAAATATTTTGATAACTGTATTTTGGTACAAATGGTTTCTGGGGGCAGCTAAGTGGTGTAGTGGCTAGAGCACCAGCCCTGAAGTCAGGATGATCTGAGTTCAAATCCGGCCTCAGACCAAACGCTTGACACTTACTAGCTGTGTGACTCTGGGCAAGTCGCTTACCCCCAACTGACTTAAAAAAAAAAAAAAAGTGGTTTCTTGTATGTTTTATTTCATGCCTTTGAAAATCAGATTCTGAGAAGGGGGCTGAGCCATTGCCAGCCATCTTGACTTTTGTCTTGCCACTGGACTTCCTTGACTATGGAGGAGAGTGAGGCTGGGTGATTTTGCATAGCCCTGCCTCACTTTGAGCCCATTTCACAGGAAAGTCAGGTTGTCACCTTCCTGATGTCATTGGTGCTCTTCAAGAATGAAGGCCGAACAACAACAATCTGAAAGGGGACTGTGGGCTTCAGCAGAATGATAGCTAAAGGGCTCCCTGATGGAAAAAAATATTAAGAACCCTAGCTCTTCCATGATAATTTGTTACTTTTTTTTTGTCTTCTCCTCCCCCATGGGGGAGAAGAGGGAGGGGGAAAAACCTAAATGCTAGATAGTTAACATTTTTTCAGTCATTTTCAACTAGAAAATTTTTAAGTTAAAAAAAGAATACTTGCTCTAAATTTTCATCTCTATTTGAGGCTTAGGTTAGGGTCTTCTAATTCTTAGGGCCCTCGTCCTATTCAAATTCCTGTACAATTATTTATGGATATGTTGTCGTCTTCCCAGGACAGTAAACTCCTTAAAGGCAGGAACTAATTAATGTCTGACTTTGAGTCCTGGGCACAGGGCTTTGCACAGAGTATACATTTAACACATTTATTGAAGTGGATTGAATTAAAAGAACACTACAGTTAGAATCAGATGATCTGAGTTCAAATTTTGGGTCTGCCATTTATGACCTGACTGACTCGGGGTAAGTCGCTGAGTGTGTCAGTTTACTCATCTGTAAAATGAAAGGGTTTGACCGGTTGATCTCTAAGGTTGCCCCTCCCCCCACCGAGTGCCAGTGTCTGCCTGGTCCCGGGTCTTGGAAGGCTCAGCATCGTCTAGGCAAGATCCGGCTGGCTGCCAGTTATGGGTGGGGGGGAGGAGCCAGCAAGCTGGTGCCGCCTGGTCTGGGTCTGCTGCTGGGAATAGGGACCCCATGGTTGAAGACCAGCATTCTTACCAGTCTACAGTAGTGCCATGGTTAGGGTCTGTGCACACTGGGTGTGGCGGAGGGGTGAGGCATTGGGACTTTAGCCCATGGAAGAAGCTCTGTGACCCTTCCCTCTGGACCTGGCCAGTGCTGCCCCCTACTGGTCCTCCAGCAGGGTGGATACCCCTGGTTTGGGTGGAACACCCTTGTTACTATTAAACAAAACACAAGGGGTGGGTGGGGGGAGGCGGGGATTGGCCCTAGGCTGGCCACAGTTTGTACTACTAGGAGACAGTTGCCAAGGGAGGGTGGTGCTGCTTGGAGACAGTTGCTAAGGGAGGGATGGTGTCTGAGCAGCTCAGGGAGAAGTTCTCGATGCTGTTGGGTTGGGTTGGGCTGGGCTGGGCTGGGCTGGGCTGGGGGCTGAGATGGGCTGGGCTGGGGGCTGAGATGGACTGGGCTGAGTGACTTGGGGGCCTGGCTAAGAACCCAACGGGTAAGGCTGCTGCTGGAGTCCCAGACACAAGCCAATGGTCCCCAAGGAAAAATAAAGTCAATGACCAGGATGTCAGGGTCTCCTGAGCTGCGGGGTGGGAGGTGGGGAAAGCAGGCTGGAGTAAGATAGGGCCAGCAGAGGAAGCAGGGAGAAAGAAAATGCCTGACCCATCCTGCCATCGATGCCCCAGTGGTCAGAGACTGCAGTGGACCACACCCTTTTAGGCCTGGGAGGAAGGTGCCTGCCCCAGTGAGGCAGCTCTGAGACCCCGGAAAACAGCCCACCCAGTCTCTGCATAAGTGAGAAGCTTAGGCTAGTGGATGAGAAACAAAGAGAAAGGGCTGGGATCCTTGCTCCCTATCCCGCCTGCCAAGTACTGGGCTTAGAGTTCTTCATCCTGGCCATTCCACCACTGTCATCCCTCTCCTCTCCTTCTTTTAAGATACGACTGCACCTCCACTCCCTGGCCAGTGAACAGACACCAGGGGTGGGGAGAGGGGCATTAACAAGGCAGGGCTGTAGAGACCCTCCCCTCAATGTGGGCCTGAGCCAGGGGGGGCCTGGCCACTAAAATCAAGGGCCCTGCTTCTCTGGGGACACAGAGAAAGGGACAGGGTGGGGCTGGTCACTCCCAGTTGGCCATCTCGACTGGCTCATGGTAGCGCAGACAGCTGGAGTCATTAATCAGCTGTAGGACAGGCCTTTCCCTGCCCCCCTCCCAACACCGAGGAGACTGGGGGAACGGGGAGGGAGAAGAACCCGGGAGCAGCAGCCTAAACCGGTGTGTGTCCCCTGGAAGAGGGGCAGTCATCGTTCGCTGGCCAGCCTGCGGCTAGATCTTCACTGCAACCCTGAGACTCCAGCCCAGCCCCTAGGTTGCCCCTCCATCACAGAAGCCGGACAATGAATGACCTTTGCCAACGCCAGCAGCAGCCTGTCACTATTTGGGCACAGTCCTACTTTCTGCCCCATGCCTGCTCCTGCACCCTCTGCTTTGGCTGGCATTCTCCCGCAGAGGCTGCAGGAGTGGGCATGGGACAGTTGGCAGGATCGTGCCTGAACAGTGCCACTCCCCAGGCCGATCGGAGTCAGGGCGGTGTCCACGTGCCCCGGGGTTCCTTTCCAGCGACACCCTTCCTTGCAAGGGAAGCCCCTCAATCGCTGTCGTTCCCCCCTCCTCCCCCCGCCTCCAGTCCCTACCCTGGGCCCGACTAGGATCTGGATCTGGCCTCGGTAGCCGTCCCAGGTCAGTCCCGGGGGTTCCTACTTCACCTCTGGGGCTGTCCCTGCTGCGCGCAGATCAGGCTTGAGCGGAAGGCTACGGCACGGACGAGCCGACGGACGGACGGACGGACGGACGGACTGCCGGACCGGGCGGCGGCTCCTCTGCTCCGCTCGCTGCCGGTAGCTCGGCGGGAATGCACCCGGGCGGCGCTGACTTATTATCCCTTGTTTCTCCGGGTCTCCATAGAGATATCCTGTCCCACCCCCGGGGAGGGGGGGGAAAGGGGGATGTTCTTCTGCGGAGAGTGACCAAGGTCACAGAGAAGCCCCACCCCCAGCCGGGCTCCGCCCCTGGGACAAGTGTTCCTCTCCCGGACCCCAGTCCCTGGTTCCCGCCCCCCCTCTTTCTCTGCAGCCCCGCTTCTGCCGGGCTAGAAACCCCTAATTCTCAACACTGCCCCCCCCACCTCCCCATCCCCCAACCTCACAGCCCCAGCCGAGCCAGGAAGAAGCAGGGTGAGGCAAGGAGAGGATGCGGCGGGGAGGCGGGGGCTGCCTCCTCTCCCTCCCCTCCTCAGCCAGCCCCACCCAACGTCCCCTACCTCCTAAACCCACTCCCCCATATTCCCCACCCCCTATCCCCAGCATGGTCCAGAAAGCTACGGAATAAATGAACCGTCTGGGGAAGCTGCAAGGTTGGGAACTAGGAGGGATGAGGACCCCACGAGCCTCCGGGACCGCGCCTACTTCCCCCTCGTCCCCTTCCTGTACGTGTCCTTTGCATTGCCCGTCAGATCCCTCTAGGCCCCCAGACTCTCCAACCTCTGGTACCCTTTCCTAGTCTCCCTACTCCCTAAGAGCCTGGGTATTTGTGTAGGCAAGCGGGCGCACGGGCGGGGACCAGTCCACGCTTTGATGCTTCTCGCACGCACTACGTCCCGCATGCACTATGGCTCTGCACCGGGGAGCCTCGGCACCAGCCTCCCCTTCTCAGTGCAGTCAGGACTGACAAACGACTTCTCCCAGAGACCAGGAGCCTTTCCCTTTCTTGCAGATCTTCCTACTTTTCCCAGGATTCAGGCGAGTCAAGAATTGCCAGTAAGACCCTACATCACATGGGAAAATCATTCATGCCTCCTTCCACTCCCGTAGCATCCCTGAGGGCCGACTACAGTCGTCTTGATCTATATGTGGCCACTGGACCCAGGTGGCTCCCGAGGAGAGAGGCTGGTGACTTTGCACAGCCCTCCCTCATTTAAATCCAATTCACTTACAAGTCATGACATCACCTTCCTGATGTCATGGGCCTCTTTTAGAAGGAAGGACAAACAACAAAAACAATCCCAAGCATCCCTAAGGTGATTCTGGGATTCTGGACTCTCCCGGATCTAGGTCCTTCCCCCCCCCCCCCCACTCTCAGCATCTCCCAGACCTCCCCCAGGCTCCCCATAATCTTCCCACTCCTTCTATGACAAGCTTTTAGGACATTGTGGGTTGGTCCAGCCCAGGAAAGTTTAGCCCAGGTTAGTCCTGTGGCCAGACTGAGAAAGAAAGCCACAACAAGCATTAGCAAAGACATAAAAAATTTATATTGTGAATCATGATTAATCCACAGAAGGAACGGTGCTGCTGCTGCTCATGATTAAAGGGGGAGGTAGAGCCCCAGGAAAAGGGGAGGAAAGGAGGGTTGAAGTCCCAAGTGCTCACCCACCCCCCAATCCCCTGGGGCACTCCCCTAAAGTGAATTCTGTGCTGTTGTAAGGTGCTGGCAAGCCTGGCTTTCCAGGCAGCAGCTCCTCAGATCTGCCTCCTTTCCTGGGTGCTGCCCCACTGGCCAGTTCCCAAGCAGGCACTGCAGTCTTTTTTAGGAGGTGGAACAGTTCAGGGCCCTGGGGCTCAGCTCTTGGCACTGGGGGAAGGGGTTGCATAGACTGGGGGTGGGGTACAGGAGGGATAGGTAGGTACCTGACTGTGGCGGGGGCATCAGCTTGGAGCCCAGGGGTCCTAGGACTCTCCCGCCCACCTTCCACAAGAGGCCACTCACTCCTTTTGGAGGAGGGCTCTGCTACCCGGTGCAGTCCAGGGAAAAGAGTTACCCACTCGGTGGGACTGGGGAATCACTTTGACCCAAGACTTGGCCTAGGATTCAGATTACCCCCGTAGATCATTTGATGGCAAGCTTTGGCTCGGCCCACAGTCCATTTAGAGGGGAGAGCCAGGAGGCTGGGTAGGTGGCTGGCCCCATCGCCATAACTAGCATGGTACAGCTGGGGCTCTGCCTCATGGCACCCATATCAGGAAACATTCTTCTTCCTGGGGAGTGGCACACTTCTTCACCAACTTGCCTCAAAGTCCTTCTTCAGTGAGGTTGACAACTCCAGGGTCCTGTTGCTGTGGTATCAATGCTTCCAAGGCCTGCCAGGTCTTGTCCACCTCAATCCTTGGAAGGACAACTTTGCAGGAAGGGTCATCCCTCCAGGTACAATCATCCCATTGCTGGGACTACCCTTTAGTCTAGACTGCCACTGAGCCTCTTTCCTGCTCTGACCTCAATCCCAACCTCTCACTCGACTGAATTTGCCTCAGGTTTAATTTCAGCCAGTCAGGCTCAGGCTGGACTCCAAGGGGAGTCACAACTTAAGGAAGAAGGAAAAGACATGGGGCAGGGGCAGGAGGGCGCCACCAGCACCCACCTCTGCCAGGTAGATCAGCAGCAATGCTGGGCGATAGGGAAGGACCTAGGTCATGCTCACCTCTGGTCAGTGCTCCAGATTGGCACCAGCACATTGCCGCTCTCTGGGGGAACCAGGTGGCTCCCCACTGCTTTGGCTCACAAACACAGTGGGCACTTTGGCCGTAAGTTCTAGCTCCTGTTCATAATCCCTGCCCCGAGGGCATCTCTTGCCCAGGCTAGGAGCTTGGGGGAGGTGATGCCGGGGAAGGCCCAGGCCACTGTAAGGGGGTAGGCGGCCACCCTCAGCTGGGGTGCTACTGCCCAGGCGAGTCTGGGCCACAGGGATCTCCTCCATGGACTCCGCTGACTCAGAATGGTAGTCAGCTGGAGGACCAGCCGCCTGGACAGCAGCGTCTGGGCCCAGGAAGACTGGCACAGGGAGGTGAAGGCTGGAGTTGGAGGAGTGAGATGAAGAACTCATGGCACCAGCCTCAGGGAGCTCTGGGGGAAGAGAGAGGGGAAGGTCAGGGAGCTGTGGAGAGGGGCCAGAGTTTGCTCAGGGGGCTCTCCCCACCCTCAGCTCAGAACAGTGCAGACTCAAGAGGGAGGTAGACCCGCCTAAAGGTTCAGCACAGTGGTTAGAGCAAATGTGCCCTTTCCCCACTCTTTGAATTAGGCTGAAATGACCAGGGGTGGTTAGGAAGGAGAAAGGGAGTGGCAGAATGGTTGGGGGGAAGGGCAGAGATGACCTATAAGGGGAGGCAACAGGAACTAGGGGGTAACCTTCCCCAAAAGAAAGTGGGTCTGATCCCATCTCCCTTGAGGATTAAGCAAAAGGAAAAGGCTCGGGCTGGAGCAGGAGTTAAGGAAAATGGAAGTCCCGTGGGCTGTTAGCCTTCTCACTTCCAGGAAGACCACGCTGGCCACTGCTGCCCTTTTCCCCCTCGGCCCAGGGCTAGTGGGGTTCTTTTGCTCTAGATGGGCTGTGAGGGCAGGGCCAGGCCCCTGGGTGAGGGCCCAGGGCAAGGAGGACTTCTTACCAGGGCAGGGGGCTGGCAACCTGGGTCGGGGTGGGGGGCGGCCCTGAGAGTTGTCACTGGCTACCAAGGCCGGCACCTTGTACGCTTTCCTCTTCTTCTTCCTCTTCTGGAAAGGCAAAGAATAAAGAGCCCGAGTGCCCTCCTCCCACCTCCCTCCCATTTCCCTGTGCCCCTCTCTTAAGCTCTCCCATGTTCCTGAAGAGAATGTACAGGGAGGCAGATGGGGAGTTAGGAATATGCCCCACAGCCTCACTGAACTAGGTATCTTTAGGGTTGGGGATCACAGGTTCAAGCAGTAAAGGTGAGGAAGAAAGTCAAGGGTCCCAGGGCTACATCGTGCCCTCAGAAGTAGAAGAGGATGGCAGTGAGCTCCAGGGAAACCAGGACCCAGGGGAGGTGGGGGAGGGACACAGAGTCAGTCTTAACTTGGGTGTCAACTGGGCAGCCCTGGGGGGAAGCCTGGGCCTACGGGGATGGAGTGCCCTGGCCCTGGGGGAAATGCCCAGTTCCTCACAACATGAGGGCACTGCTCATGCCTACCTGTGGCTGGATCTTGGGTGGCAGCACTGGGGTGTCAGGGGAGGAGGGCAGCGTAGGCTCAGCACTGGTGACAAAGAGCGTGGAATGGCTGGAAGCAGAAGGAAGGGGATGGGCATCAAGGCTGGTCCCTTAGTCCTCTTCCCTTTCCCCCACGCCAGTGTGCAGCTGCCTCCCTGAGCTAAGTAAGGGCTTGGGGGGAAGGGGAGCTGGCAAGAAGCCAGTTAGGGGTGGAGGCATTACTAGAGCACTGGCACTGGAGGCAAAGGCAGGATTCCAGTCTTCCCCCTTCGCCTCACTAAATCTCACAAACTCTCTCAGCCTCAGGTTCTTCTGTAAAATGGGATCAATAACCCTTACACTCCCGAGCCCACCGGGTGGTTGTAAGGAAAACTCACAGGGTTGTTGTAAACTTTAAAGCACCATAGAAATGGGAGTTATTATTCCTAATTGTTGTTGCCCAGGATTTCCTTCTGAATAACCCTCCTGAGAGGGTGTAGGGGTGCTAGGGGCTAGGATTTTCTTCAGGACCCTGGAGGACCACCCCCCAGCTGCCCATAGGCACCTCAGACCAAGTTGCGGAGAGAACTATGGCCTCAGAGGTGACCACTCCATTCCAGGATGGAGCCAGGCTGGGCCTTCTCCATTCCTGTCAGCCTTAATTAATGTTCACTCAAGGAAGCATCCCCAGCTCGGAGACCTGCTTGGACCTGCTCTGTTCAGACAGTGTCTCAGGACTCCCTTCCTTGTGAATTCCTCTTCCCTTTAAGCTGACTTGTCCATCCCTGGCTTTCCTATCCAGTACCAGGCCCCAGCCGTACCCTGGACCACAGTGGAGGCTTTATCTCAAAGAATGGAGATGGACCAGGTGGGGTGGCCTTGGGAGATTCCATCCTCCTGGAGACAGCCCCCAGGCCCTGGGCCTGTCTGGGGCCAAGGCTCCTCCCTCCCTCCCTCCCTCCCTCCTCCCAGCATACTGGCTGCTCCCTGGGGAGCTGCTCTGCTAATCTCCTGAGCCACCTCAGGCCAGCTCCGGTTGCCACAAGTAGAGGCCCGCCCCTCCCAGGCTTCAGGGTCCTGGAGCCCCATCTCTCCCTCCCCCTTTCCTTTGCCCTATCCCCCTAAGGGCTCCCAGGGCACGTCAGGGCCCAGACCCCCCACTACTTACTCTCTTTTGGAAGGTGCCACTGCCAAGCCCTCTGCCTGGAGCTCTGAATTGGTGTAACTGAAGCTGCGAACATAGAACTCCACCTCCTAGGGAGGAAGACCAGAGAGGATTAGTGCAGCGAAACTGAGAAGCCAAGAGGGAGAAGAGGGGCTGAGGCCCAAGGCCAGGGCGCCACCCACAAAAGGGTCAGCCCTCCTCAAGTCTGGGGCTGACTTGTGTGTGTTGGGTTGAAAGAAATCTGAGTTTGTGAAGAAAAAACCCAATAATTCCATTAAGCAAATACTCTGCCTCCTTGCCTTCTACTACGTGAGCTTCTGGAGATACAAAGGCAAAATGAAAAAACAATGGCGGGCCTCAAGGAACTTACCTTACCCTGAAGGGAAAGAACAGTGAGAGCAGCAAAGCACAATTCTGACTGGCGCAGGCTGAGGGGGAGTGCTTCAGAAGGGCTGCCTGGGGAGGGGGGAGGAGGGAGTCCTAGGCGAGGGCCAAAGCACGGACTAGGGGATCAGCAGGTAGGCCAACCCGGCCGGAATATGACAGACATGAGGTGGGGAGCTCGAATGTGAACCAGTAAACCAATATATGATTCCGCACCAACATGTGTGTCCTGGTCACCAGTGCTCCAGACTGCAGGGAGGGTCTTGGGCTGGCTCCTGAGGGATTCGAGGAGAGAGGGAAAAGATGGCATTGCAGGAGGAGGAATAACATGAATGAAACCCTGCAGCCTTTCTGATGCTGGTAGGAATAGGATGGGTTTGGTTGATGTTAGGAGACAAACCATTTCTGCCACTTACAATCCTAGCGAGCTGCCTAGGACAGATGGGCAAGTGACTTGCCCAGGGTCACATTGCCAGGACTTGAATCTGCATCTCCCTAGCTTTGAAATCCGCTTTCTATTTACACTTTGACATCCACTGCCTAGTTAATAAGAGACGATATGGACTGAGTCCTTTAAGGTCTGCAAAGCACTCTGCATTCATTCTCTTTTCATCCCCTGCAGGGGGCTCCAGACCTAGAAGGTCACTAGCCTAGGCTAGTGAGACCTGGAGAACTTGAGCTAAAGGTTCATCATGCTCATTATGGACCTGGGTAGATTCTTTCATATCTATATCAATGGCCTGCCCCAGTGTGTTGTGTTTAATTTCTACATTCTTTTATTAATTTTTTTTTGGTAAGGCAGTTGGGATTAAGTGACTTGCCCAGGGTCACACAGCTAGTAAGTATCAAGTGCCTGAGACTGGATTTGAACTCAGACCCTCCTGACTCCAGGGCCAGTGCTTAATTCACTTCGCCACCTAGCTGTTCCATCTACATTCTTTTAAGTAAAAGTACAAAAAATGTACTTGTGTGGCTTGGACACCGTGGAGAAAAACAGTAAAACAGAAAGAGTTCTAGGTTCTAGTTGGTTCTAGGACTGATACCAAAAGACGGTACCAGTCTTTGGGGCTCCCATGGCTTCCCTTCTCCCTGGGCCTTTCTTGACCCTGCCATGGATCAGATGGGTCCTGACATTCAGACTACTGATTGTCCCAAAGGAATGCCTCCAACCCCTACCCTGGCCTTCTCATGACGGGGCCACTGTTTGGCTACTCCCCAGACTCTCATCCATGGGGTCAAGGTGGATGAGGCGCCTTCAACTGTCCACAACTTCTCTCCAAGATTCAGGGTCTGTGAGGCAGCCCCGAGTAGACCAATCTCTGTTGACTTGCTGTGCTGACAGCATTTACCCCAGGATTTCCATGGAGACAAAGGGCATCCTGACTAATGCTGACACAACAGACTGAATTCCGTCTCTAAAACAAGCCAGTGTTTAGGGGCAACATGGACACAAGAACTCCAGAAATATGCTACTGTCTTCCCAGAGGGCCCCTCCTGTGTTCCTGCCTTCCCCTTAGGGGCTCAGCCAGGTAGAAAGGGAGGAGCCTCATATCACAGTCATAGAGACTTGGAGGGGAAAGGGACCTTAGAACGCAGAAAATGAGAAGCAATTGAGCACTAGAACAGAAATGTTAGAACATGTCATGCTTTTCATCACCTCTCAGGAGGTGGGTAGCCTGCTTCATCAGGAGTCTTCTGGAATCATGGTTGGCTTATTGAAGCGATCACTTACTAAGGCTTGTACAGATGTACAACAATACTGTTGTTATTGCATAAACTGTAGAACATAAAATATTGAAAGTTGGAAGAGACCTTAGAACCTAGAACCACAGGATGTTAGGGCTGGAAGGAACTTTGTTTTTGTTGCTTAATTGTATTTTCAGTCATGTCAGACTCTTCATGACTTCATTTGGGGTTTTCTTGGCAGTGATACTGGAGTGGTTTGCCATTTCCTTCTCCAGCTCATTTTACAGATGAGGAAACTGAGGCAAACAGGGTTAAATGACTTGCCCAGGGTCACACAGCTAGTAAATACATGAAGCCGGATTTGAACTCTGGTCTTCCTGACTCCAGGCCCAGCATTCTGTCCACTTCACCACCTACTACTCATGGAAGGAGCATGGAAAAGCTTAAATAAAGAACGTAGAGTGTTGCATTGGAAAGGAACCCTACAGAATTTCAGAACTAGAAGGGACATTAAAACTTTGACTGTCAGAATTCCAAGGGATTCAGCCACGATGCCAGAATGAGAAGGAACTTTAGCACCTTGATTTTACAGAAGAGGAAACAGAGTCAGAGAGGCCACATACTGAGTGGCAGAGGCAGAACCAGACCTCGGGTCTTCTGACATTCATCATACTTTCCACTACAGCATGTTTTCTGGGCCCACGCCTCTGCTGGAGAAAGGGTGGTCACAATAAGGTCACAGTGGTAGAGGGAGCAGCAGCAGGAGGAAGGAGCAGAGCATCAGAGAGGGCCAGTAACACAAGAGCCAACAATGAGGAAGCCAGCTGTCAAACAAACCCAAGGCCTAATGGTCAAAGCTTCATCCATGCCCCCAGCTGCTACGGGGATGGCCCAACCGATGCTTAGAGCAGGTTTAGAACCATCCAAAATGGTCCCTTATGTACATTCATTTTTTTCCTCCCTGAAATCCCAGGAAACTTTAGGATAGCCTCCTCTAGAACCTGATATGCTAGAGGGAAAACCAGAAACCTGACCACCAAGGTGAAGGGCTGGCTTTGAATGCCAGCTCTGCTACTTTCTACCTGTGGAAGCCCAAAGGGAAGTCAATGGGCATCGCCAGGCATCACAGAGAAAGATCCCATTTCTACAAAGGAATTTAGAGTAGTTCTTTTTTTTTACAGTAAAAAATGAGAAGAAAAAAAGAAGCGGCTGTCCATCAATTAGGGAATGGCTAAACAAACTGCGGTATATGAATATAATAATATTGCAACATAAAAAAATGATGAGTATGAAGAAGGGGAGATTTACATGGACTGATCCGGAGCCGAGGAAGCAGAACCAAGAGAACCATTTGCATGACGAGCACAATACGTAAAGGAAAACAACTATGAGACTTTTATCCAAACCAAACGGTCGTGTCCCTCTTGACTTCAGAAGACTGATGGTCCTCCTGAGCTCCTGCTGGCAGACAGCTACTGGACTGCAGGTACAGAATGAAGCCCGGCCAATGTGTGGACTTATCTAGCTCAATTGTGTCACAAGCGAGGGTTCTGTTGTGTGTCTGTGTGGTGGGAAGGGGAGGAATGAGAGAGCTGTCACTGAGAAGACAGCAATGTGAAAAAAAGAAAAAGGAGAATCAATAAAACTTTTTTAAAATGAGAGGCTTAACCAGATAATCTTTAACTCTTCATCAGACTCTAAATCTGTGGTTTTTCTTCCACAGGTCATTCAATCCCAGGTCCCAGGTCTAGCCTGAGCTAGACCAAAATCCCTAGGACTGCAGGTGCTCTGGGTGGGACCCAGTCTTGGCCACACAAACAAGTTTCCAGAGGGCTGGGAGTCATGCTCCTTGGTCAACTGGCATCTGAAGAGTAAGGAACAAACTCCAGCTTTAGCATTTTCACCTCTTGGGGCCTCAGTTTCCTCCCCTGTAGAATCAAAATGCAGGGCTGGATGACCTCGAAGGCCCTTCCAGCTCTAAACCCTATGACTGTATAGAGCAAACCTTGCTAATGCCAGTCATTAAGCATTTATTATCTGCAGGCACTGTGCTAAGTGCCAGGGATACAGAGAGGGAGACAGTCCTTCTTCTTGAGGAGCTCCCAACTGAATGAGGCAGATGACATGCAGACAACTGTGTACAAACAATCTGTATACTCAAGGTAAATCAGAAAAAAAAAGTCAACAGAAGGAAGGCTGCAGAACTAAGAAGGACTGGGAAAGGCTTCCTGTAGAAGGTGGGATTTTAGCTGGGACTTGAAGGGAGTCAGGGAAGGAGAAGATTCCAGGCATGGGGAACGGCCAGAGAAAATGCCTGGAGATGGGAGATGAGAGTCTTGTTCAAGGAACAGCCAGGAGGCCAAAGTCATTGAATTTCACAATATGTTTGGGTGGGGGGTTGGAGGTTGTAAAGTCTAAGAAAATTGGAGAGGTGGGGGAGGGTCAGATATAAAGGTCTTTGTATGTCAGAGGATTTTATATTTGATCCTAGAGGTAACAGGGAGCCATGGGTGACCTAGCTGGACCTGTGCTTTAGGAAAATAACTTTGAATGTTGGATGGATGATGAGCTGGATGGGGAGAGACTCAAGGCAGGCACACCCAACAGCAGGCTATTGTAATAGTCTAGGTGTGAAGTAATGAGGGTCTGCACCAGGGTGGTGGCAGTGTCAGAGGAGAGAAACAACATATGTGAGAGAAGTACTGAAGGTAAAATTGACAGGGCTTGGCAGTAGCATAGGCATAGGAGATGAGAGTGAAGAGTCAAGGATGATACCTAGGTTGGGAAGATGGTGGGGATGGGGTATTCCCCTGCATCCCCATCTTTCTCTTTCAATAGGACTAAGATGTTTCCTCAGTGCCTCTTCCTTAAATCTAAGGGGATTCCAAACTCTTTCATAAATGACTAGGACAAAAGACAAGACCAGAAATCTTCCCTGAGCCCCTGGAAGTGGGCCAAGTTTAACAAGTCAAATCTGCCTATCCATAAAGCATGCCCCAAGCCAGAAGGGGAAGGAACA